CTTTTCGACCGCCACCTTCACCATCATGGTTATTTCTATAGTGCGCGATTTTGAGAGCAGTCGACACAGCCAAAACTTTCACCAACCAAAAAACCCGTCCAAAAAAACCCTCTTCAAAGACCTACGTCGACCTCCATTCCCACTATGATAGCCTTCCTCAAGCCGGGAAATGCGACCTATTCTCTTTCCAAAATCACAAGTGCGACCCTCTCGTTCGAACGACATCGTTCGACATCAGCTTTTGTACTTATATCGAGATAAAGCTATTAGCCGACATCAACATCATCTTTTCAATCCTCTAGCTTTTCAATAAACCTTCTTGGCTAACTGACTCTATTGATTTTAGGCTCATGAGGTGAAGCCGTCGATGTTAAATGCGAAGAATTCTAATGCGAACAAGCATCGGAAGAAATCCTCTTCATCAAATGCGCTCAACATGACGCCAATGAACAACCTTGGACGAAACGGTGGACCTCCGTACGACGCGCATCACAAGCTGCGCACACTAGCAATAACCATGATGGTGAAGGTGGTGGTCGAAAAGGGAGGAGGTATATTGTATTGGGGGAGCCTTTTAAGAGTGATGGTGGTGGGTCACATCGAAATCTTAAAGGGGGGGGTCACAAAATTTTTGAAAAGTGCGAACGTGACGATTGACCCAGCGTCCAAGGCGGGAATCAACGGAAAATGGGGTCCCCTTTTTCGGGTCTGAAGTTGTTGTGTCTCGGATTTTTATTGACCAGTGTCCTCTATCACCTCTACTTTCAGCTCCAATGAGCAAGGATTTTTCGTGTGATCCGCCATTGATCATGTTCGATCAACCCTAATAAGTAGTCGCGAGTGCGAGTTGTTTGTGCTCTGACCTACCATACCTGTAACACCCGTCGACGTTTCTTTGGCAGCTTCGCACGAGCTTGTGAGTGCGAATAGAGGTTGGAGAAGTTGGAAACGATGACTGGCACAGGCAGTGCGATAGTCAGCACTCCCATAAGAGCGCATAACGAACCCACGACCATTCCGAGATAAGTTCGAGGCACCTGAAAATCGAACGTACCCGCTTTGGTTGCCCAACTTTTAATTCTGGTCAATGAGTGCAGTGTTCGGTGGTATCACTCCTAGTAGCATAACACTAGGAATGTGCTGCATTCAGGGAATTATTTATCAGAGATCCAAATTTCTCTCAGTTTCCTTTTTAAGGCATTTATCGGAAATTAGTTTACAAACGTGTTGGAAAGTTGGAAACGTTGACCGAGTTATGTTAAGGTTTTCAAAGAATCAGCACTACCAGCTTAGGAAGACAACTACAACTATCAATAAAGTTGATCCAACTGTAGCACCTTACTTACCATGTCACCAAAACCAACGGTGGATATCGTAATGAGGCTCCTGTAATGAAAAAATGTTGATATTTCGTGGCACACGTTTGAGAATCTTGATTTCTTTTCAACTCACCACCATAATCCTGCTGGTATACTGGTAAACTGGTTTTCTGGATTTGGCTGACTTCTTTCCGCATAGTAAACGAGAGCAGCGAATATCACAATGGCGAGCAAAACGAAGAACACCAATAACGCCAGTTCCTCAGCAGATGCCTGTAACAACCACTTAATAAGTCAGACTATTTTATGAGCGATGAAATTTCGTCCTGGTCGAGAACGGTTCACAGCGAGTTCCCCAAAAATGGAAATGAATTGCAGCGTCATTCTGGAAATATTTACAAGTTCATAGTTTTATGTTTGGGCATAATGAACGAACGGTGACCCAAACTTTTTGGTTAGACATAATACGCATTCGTCCACAGACCACGTTTATAGCTCATGATACACTAGCACAACTCAGTCGTGCCACTAGTTGCTCCACTGAACCATGAGGCGAAGTCAGAAATACTTGAACAGACATAGGTCTAATCACTGGAATCCTTCCACTGTTCGAATTATCCGCAAGATTTTTTGTGTAGTGTTTGTTTTTGTGTTTTTGAATCCAAGTGTTTTTGGATCCTTGGTTTAGTAGACATCTGTCTATAAAATAATTTGCCAGGGCTCTCCAATCTATTTATTGGAAGTTAGAGGACTGTGCTTTATAGAAAAATTCTATACCAGTTGAACGATCTTCAACGGGAATTTGATATAACAACAGGTGAACACTTCGATCTTCCTTTTGCTTTTGAGAGAGAGCTTTTCCCCGTGAAGGAATTTGAAAACATTTTACACTCGATTACGAGGTTTGCCCACCTATCTGTCCATTCCTAGCGCCTGGCAAGCGATTATCAGTTGGCAGCCCATATGGGCTGCCATCGTCCCAGGAGCGCATGTTGTTGGCAGCCCATATGGGCGGCCATCGGCGTGAATGTGTTAAGTCCAAAAGTGACACGACCTCTACGATTGAGAACCTAACATTGCATCTACAAAAAATAGTGAACGACATCGTGGAGAAGTGAAGCGTGAGCTGGACTAAAATTCACACAAAAAAATAGGAACAACGTAAATAATAAAAATTAAACAGAATATATCAATAGAAATCAAATAAATAGAAATACAAAATACATATTACAGCAAAAAAATTTTGAGCTTCTCAGTACTACCAGGCCATTCTCGTAGCAATGTTTCTTTTCAGTTTGTTCGTCTACTGTTTTGCCCGTCAATGCGACGCTTCCTTCGCTCACCACTTACGGTCATCGACGTAATCTCAACGTCGGCATTCTACTTCGAGTGGTTGCTCCACGCTATTCTCATACAAACTGGTGAGCTAAGTTAGTTTATTTGCAGCTATTTTACTTATACGATTGCATTCTGAACTCCACCCTGGTGTTGGTCACTGAACTGCACACATTACTGTTACTATACCAGTGCTATGTGAAACCACTTGGTCGCTCAGGAGACAAAATGAGGATTCATTCTAGCGCCTACACAAACGCTGTGCTAATGCTAAAACTGTATTCTAATTATGATTTCACTTTGAAACATCGTCATTTTCAGGATCTCTAGTCACAATTGATTTCCTCTCGATGATCTGTGTGCTACGTCTTTTTAATCAAGGCCACTCAGGCACTTTTCGCGGCCTGACAATCCCATACAGAACGATTACGGTGACTAATTTTTCATTTTTAGCATATCTGGAACTGCGAAACTAATTTAAAAGAAAAAAGAATGAGGGCTGTCCCTTCTTCATGTCACAAACTCCAATTTTTATGATAATTTGTCTTTTAAATCAACATTATGATGTTGGTGTAATATCGTACATAAACACTTTTATTAATATAATACTTTTTTTTATTTACCTTCAGGGTTACACAAACTCGAAGTGGCCAAAGTTGTAGGGTGGCGACAGTGATGTTGCTTTTTAGCTTCGCAATCGCTTACAACTAGCATAAACCTTTTTACGATGCCCTAAAGACTCGCTACACTAAATCGACAATTTGTGGTTATGCACATTATTGGGTCGTCCAGAAAATCCTGCGGCACTTTGAATTCGACAGTCGCTTGACTGGTATTGCGAAATATTATAAAAGGGCTCCCTCTTGAACTGAAAAGCAACTATGGATCCTACAAACCCGAGTATCCTTCGACCCATCGTATGAGTTCATACAAGGACGTTCTGCAATAGAAGCAGCTAATAACATCTGCACTGCATTCAAGAAAGATGTTCACCATTCCACTGTTAGTCGCTGGTATCACCGCTTCGAGTCCGGCGATATTTCTTTCGAAGGACAGGAACGTCCTGGACGTCCATCAACTCTTCAAGATGATGATTTACGCAGCGCTTTGATCTCAAAGCCGAACATAACCTACTCGTGAATTAGCAACTACACTCGGGTGCAGCAAATCAACCGTCAGCAATCGCCTTGCCTCTCTTGGCTTCCGCAAAATTCTTTCGACATGGGTACCTCACGAACTTCGCGAATCGGACCGGGCCTGTCGCGTCAGCGTTGCCGAGTCATTGCTCCTTCGTCCGCATAGGAAGGATTTATTGAACGGGACAGTGACAGGAGATGAAAGCTGGGTCTTGTACGTTAATGATACCTCGCAAGAGAGTGTGGTTGCCAAAGGGCGAACTGCCACCGAAGCAATCGAAACGTGGTTTGCAGGAGAAGAAAGTTATATTGTTGGTGAAATTGTGATGGGATGCTCTACTACGAATTCTTGGAAAGTGGCACAACTGTGACACCGACGATGTACTCTAACCAACTACAGAAGGTGGCCGATGCAATCCTTCACAAGTATCCAAAACGACTGGAAACCTATCTTCTGCACGAAAACGCTCGCCCCCACGTCGCAACAATGACGCGTCAGAAAATCAGGAGCTGGGTTGGGAAGTGTTACCGCATCCACCGAACCTTGAAGCGGCACCTACGTGATAAGCAATTCGACAATCAGGAGCAACTCAAAACGGAGCGGGCAACTTCTTCAGTACGCAATCCACGGAAAAATGGGATCGAGAAAGCGAAATCGAAAGTTACCAGTGAAATGTATGAAGGTCATCGATAATAACGGCGACTATATCACTGCTTGAATTTGTCTTTTATTTATAAAAAACGATTGTGTTATTAGTGTAGCATTATTTTCTGGACAACCCAATATTTCATATTTTTTAACTTGTGCCTATCTCGGCTATAAGCGTTCGTCACACTGGATCCCGCTAATGATGGAAGTCTTACGGTAATATATCTTAAGAAATACTTCTAAACGAGGAAGCAATTCTCCTTCATTGCTGCCACCTTCTTTCGAATATGTATCAACTCATCCGCTATCGTCGTCGAAGGTGGCCTACAATATTTGCCCCAACCTGAAACAGCTACCTGATTTCTCCATTAATTTTGTAGTGGGTAGTTTCCTAGGATGGGTAACCTTGAATGTGGAAGACCCCAGTCTTCTAGCTTTTGAGCAACATCTTTATGGTCCATGGTCCCTCATGGAGCAGGTTTAGCTAAACCAGTTTCAGAGTCTCGCCTGGGGCGAAAGTTTTGTTCTTAACCCAGCATTTTTATAAAAATATTCGCAACCGAACAGCGACGATAAAACAGCTCTTAGTAAGCAGAACAAGTCA